ATCATATGATCCACCACCACTAAATACAAATATTATATCCCTTATTCTTAATGAAAATTTACATTGTTCTATAATGCGACTCATTATATTTGCAAAAATTAATATCCCATCTTCCTATTTTCATACCTTCTTTGTTATATTCGCCATTATCAGTAACTTATTTTGAATCATAAAATCCTTCATCCAATTCTACCCATTTCCCTATCTTTTTCTATTCCTTTAGTTAATAATATGATCCACCACCACTATAAATAAATATTACATTCCTTATAATTGAAAAATATTTACATTTCTTTAAATCCATTTTTTCTTGAAAGCAATACATTATATTCCATCTATCTACCTTCATACCTTTCATTTTATATTCACCTTCAAAAGTGACTTATTTCGAATTACAAAATCCGTCATCTAGCTCAATCCATTTACCTTACTTTTAACCAAACTTATTCTAGTATCCACCACCGCTAAACAATTAATTAGATAATTACATCATCTTATCTTAATAAATATATTTCCAAAAACCCATTTTAAAGTTATTATAATATTCTCCAGATGTGAAAATTTGTGCTTAACTAAACAAAAGGTCATGTAATAATATCTTACTTCTAATAATTTAAGAATAGATCTATCCAAATTCCTTGCTTTTCTCCATCCTTATAATATCCACCGACATTTTTCACAAATACTTTATCCCAAAAAACAATCCATTTGCCAACCTTCATTTTGTTCTTACAGTATTAACCTTACCAAAAAAGATAATGGATATAATCCAGATTATTAAATATTTCTGGATTCTGGAAAGCATCACAAACTTTATCTCTTTTATTACTCGTCAATAATTTTTACATCCTTAAAATTGCTCCCTCTTTTGAATATACAATTTAATGATCTTATGTGAACTTGATTTGAATTGATAATTTCTCTAACCTTTATTTCCTTTTATTATTGGTTATCAGGTAACCTCCCAAAGAGTTATTTTCATTTGAAAAATTCATTTTGTAAAATATTAATTATTATTTATAATTGTCAACAAATTCTTAGGTTACTGGATATTCATCCTTCTTGTGGATTCTTTAAATGTTGAAACAAATAACCATATAAATAAATTTGCAAAGGATACCATCATTAATATTTTTTGAACTTTACTTATTGAATATACCTTCCTCTATTTTGATTAAATTCCATGAAAACCGAAAATTATTTTGTACTGTCAAATGAAAACTTTCTATCTTTAATCTAAAATATATTGCCTTTATTAAACTCTACTCAAATAGCCTACTCATGTTTTCTTCTTAACCAAAATATTAGTATTTGTTGATTCTAATAAGGAACTAACCCTAGTAAGTATTTTCCATCAGAATTCCAAAATACTCTAATTTAATTCTCAAATAGAAATTGATCATCTAACCAAGGTTTATTTATTTATGTCCCATCAACAAAAAAAACACTTTTTATGAGTTTCTGCTTATTGTTATACCAAAAATTTCTCCTGATATTTTTTTTTCAACTATCATTTTAGATTTATGTTAAAGGTAACTTTAATATGCTGTAAATGTTAGATGTAATAGTGATCATCAATTATCAAATTTTTACCAATCATGAAAGCTATAAAATAGATCTTATGCAAAATTTTAGCACTATATTAGTTTATGGTGTGAAAATCATTTAGCATGGAGAAAACCTTTTTAGATTCCAATACATATCAATTATTTCTCATTTAAAGTAAATGCTTTAGTTCCAGGAATAGCCATTCTTCCTATTTCATCCTAAAAATATCTAAAACATGTTTAATTTAATAATATTATCCAATAGGAATATTAGAATCCATTATGATTCTAATAGTCCCACAAGACAATGCTATTTTACCACTCTTTAAATTAAACTTAGCAGATTATATTTTTTCTCATCACATTTAAAATTAGTTATCTAAGTGGCGTTAACAAATGAATAATACTATTTTTTCCCTTCTTATTTATTCTATTCCTCATGTAATTTAAGTCAACAATAATAATAAAAAGTTTTGAATTTTTTCGTATGCTTGATCTAATTCTCTTTAATCATCTTTGTCTTGTGAGGCTATCCATTACATAATAGATTTATCTGCTCCTTCTGCAGATCTATTATACTCGCCATCTGATGACAACTTAATACTAGTCACACCAAGTAAAATAATTATATTTTAGAAGAGTTCTTAATGGAATTAATAGTGACATCTCAATTTGGAGAATCATTACCAACAACTAATTTTTCAGTATTAGTAGAAAATTTTAAATAAGAATCTTGAGAACTGATATCTTGAAAATTAAAAATAGGCATCAATGTTTTAAGAATCAATAATGAAAACAGTGCCATTAATGCTTCCAATATAATCCTTACTCTAAAATTTATTCAGGATACAATGTTGATTTATTCCTCTCAAGAATTGTACTTAGATTGATTATACAAAATCATAGACTTTTATTTTTGATAAAATTCAATTTGAAAAAAATTGATTTTTATTAGTTATTCAAGGTATAATATAAATATTATTCAATAAGAAGCAAATCTATTTTAATGATTGATGATTATTATTAATAGTGATTCAATAATTATTTGTTAAAATGAGTGTTTTCTCTTTTTGTAAAAGATATTTAAGAAATAGAAGGAACATTTAGATTAACCTGGATTGAATATATTAATAAATTATCCATTACGATACATAAATCATAGTACTGATACAATATAGAAAGTAGGTTGTAAAGTATCGTGATCGATTGTCTTGACATAATGTAATATTTTATTTAGCATATATTAAGCCAGCGATAAAAACTATAGCAGGAACACATAATTTTCAAGATTTATTAGAGAAGAGAGCTGAAGTATAAAAATAAATAGATGCAACAAATTGGTAACGCTAATAAAATTATAGCTCCTCATTATAACAATCTGACTGCTTAGAAGCTTTTTATTATTGCCAACATTTTACATCAACAAGCACTTAATAATACATCTAATAGAATTTTAGATGTCTTGGATATGGTTTACTATCTAATTCAACATCTAATTAATTATCGTTCTATAATCAAATCACTTCCAATTTTAGTGATTTTCCATAGAATACTTGTAACCATAATTTTGGTAAAGATGGACCTTGTCTTTGGAATAATGCAACTTAAATAGGTAATCAATGCTCATAAGCTCAAAATTAAGATTAATGTTAGAGATTCTCTAATCATAAATCTTTCTAGAACCAATTCGTTCTTTTGATTAATACATAGCCAATTAAATTAATATACTAGAAGCAGATATTATTATTAAATTATCAATAATTTGAAAATTTATTTAACCAAGTTAATATTTCTGAAGATTATATAAACTTACTCTAACAAAATGCTAAAAAGCCAACTACTTATTTAAATAATAACAATCAATAATCAAAAAGTAGTCATCAAGTTTCTGATTTATATTCTTTCATTTTAAATTTATTGAATTTAACTCCAAAATAGCTAAAAGAAAACATTCATTAACATTAATATTCATAAGTCTTTTGTCGAAAGTACAATCTCTATTACATGGACCAATTAGTATTAAATTTGCAAATGAAAATAAGGAGAAAACTTTAAAATTTGAGTTTCCTGAATAACAGTATCAAATTTAAATGAGATGCTTAAAAATTGGAAAAGTTGATAAATTAGTCTGGAGAAATGTGTTTAAATAATTAAAAAGCAATATAATTTAATTAAAAAATATGTAAAAAGAATGGTGAAACTTATATTCTAACTTAATCAGTAAAATTTGGTATCAAAACTCTCATTTTTTCCTTTTGAATATTAAATATAAGTTATATTAGATTTTATCAATTTCTAAGTTTCAAAAACTATTTAAATTTTAATATTTTTATTAAAATTTTTTATTTGATTTGTAAATATTACAGATCAATCATCATCTAAGTTTCTTTTGGTTGAAGTAACATATCCAATAAGATGGTAATAATAAATTTATCCGTTTCCTTTCATATAAAAGTTATGAAATTAAACCTTATAATTGAGTCATACCTTCCAAATAAATGCTGTGTTTATAATCTTAATCTTTTTTTAATTTAGACTTCATCTTTTTTTTTAAATAAATTCTAATTAATCTCTTAATTTATCTCATAACCCTTAATCCTTCAAATAACACTCTTTATAATTAAGGTAAGAATTGTTTAGTTGTATCAATATATCCAGGCTTTTATGCAAAAAATGATTTATCTTCTATTTAATTTTTGGAGTTTAAGTCATTAATTATAATATCTGAATATGCTATCAATTCATAAGTATAAAATTATAATTCCTCTATTCTCTTATAGAAAGAAGATTAAATTTATAATTACTACTTTAATTGATCCTGGATTGAAAATGTAATTGATAGTACAGAAATTCTTCTACTAAAAATCTCAGATTACAATGGTTTATTATAATGGTAAATTATTTGATAAAGCTTCTCTTAAATACTTTTAACTACTAGATCAATGAAGTAAAATACTTATCAATTAAGATAATTAAAAAATATTATTTTCATCTATTAATTGTTCCTAATTCAATCATGCAGCAATTAGTTTGATTAAATATTTTCTCGATCTAACCTTAGTATTTTCTGAAAACATTGAATTCTAATATAAGTTAAACTAGGTTTATGCAAAATCAAATACAGATAGTTTTTTTCTATCAAATTTGAATTCTAATTCTTATCTTTAACTCTATACAGCAATTTAGCAAGTAGCAAGATCAAAATAATAAAGAATTATAATTACTTTATAAATAATAATAGAGAATTACATTAGCGGACGTCATAATATAATCCAGAATAGTAATAACTATAATAAATAGTAAAATAGGGTTCAAGAAAGCTTGTTTCAATGACATTTTGAGTGCACTCTAAAATAAGCTGCTATTTTAAGTCAGATATTCCATAATAGTTAGTTTTAGGATCATTTGATTACATACCTATCTTTAATTATTAACTAAAATAGTTTCCATCAATACATCTCCAATTTCTTAAGTTACGGAAATTATTTTTAGTTCTTTTTTCTATTGAAATTTTCTATATTTTCTATCATATTTATAATTGGCTTCTAATATACCTTCATCTTTCTTAGGAGACTCCTCTAAGAACGATTAGATTTTGACTTAATGAAACTTCTCATTCTTTTGAAAGTTGTGGCTAATCTTCAGGAAATTCTAATTTTTAATACTCCAGATCTTCCTTCTCATATTTATCATCTGGATTAAGAAAGAGAGTTAAGCTCTAAGAAGTTCTTGGTTCTTTATTAATTTTAAATAACTTAATAAAATTAATCTCTGGTCCATTTTTATTCACCTCTTACGCTTGTTAATTATTTACCTCATGTTAATTTGCATGCTTATGTTTAAATCTGGGGGTTGAACTTTAGGGGGAAAATTTTTCATTATCTTCATAAAAGGCAATAATATCTAATTAAAAAGGTATATAATATCACCTGATTATTTAATATTAATTATAAATCTTATTTATTATGTCTACATTTATATAATGTTATTTATAGTAACAAGAAAATTTATATCATTAGAATAGAAGATAGTACTAAAAATAGCTGCGAAAGAGTTCTTAAAGAGTTTATTTTATAGAAAATAGAATAGAAAGGTAAGTATGAAAATAAATAAGTCAGGGAAGGGGAATAAGTAGAAGTTAATTAATTATGTGAATTATTTAAGTTTAAAAGATTATATTAGGAAAGGATTATTTAAAGGATAATAATATTATTGTGAAGAAGGTATCAAGAAACTTTGGGATTTTAAAGCAATAAAATTAAATTAAGTGTAAAATATTAAAGAAGATCATTGGGATGCTTTAGGCAGATCCAAAATTAAGAATCACTTCTAAATAGATATTAAATCATGAATAATTTAGCGTTTATTAGGAAGTTGCATATTGGTCAAATACTTATCAAATAAAATTAAAATAGATTCAATTTCATATAAAAAAAATTGAATTTTGCAAGGCATGTTGAAGGTTGAATATCGAATTTTCAAAGAAAGATACTCACATTGCTCATATCTAAGTTGTTTTCTGTTTTCATCATATTTCAGACTCTAACCTATCTATTTGAACAATTAAGAATTTCATCATTAAGTAAATTAAGTGAGATTATTGGATCTCGCATTTATTTATTATAATTTTTAATAAACTTGTATTTTTTTCCTATTACATACAATGTATTCATACTCATTTGAGTTGAAAGAAAATGTGATTAATAATTTAATGCAACTGAAGAGTTTATGTATTGAATCTTATTTAAATAATGAAAAACGAAGAATTAAAACAAAAAGTTAAACGCATCAATAGTGTTATTAGTGACTTAAAGTCATGTTTTATGAAATATATTCTAAAATTTTATGTAATTAATTAAAATAATTTCTATAAAGTAGCAGATAGATTCTAAAGGAGAATAAGCTCATGAGTAAGTATGTCGAAAAAAGAAATAGAAAGCTGGAGCGGATAAAATCCTTTTTAAAGCTGTACCTACTTAAATAATGTGATAGAAGCATTTAATTGCTTAATAGAAATGATATATCAGAACCTTGTATTCCTTCTTGATATTCGTTAAAGGATAAAGAAGATTTGTTATCTTATCTATTCATTCATTAGAGACATTTTCAGGCTTTGCAAAGGGGCTTTCTGATAATCAAATTCTTATTATAAAGTGAGAACCCTGATTTCTATTTCTATAAAATTAAACAAGATGAGAAAGAAAATGAGGCAAATTTTATAAAGAAGCCTGGAGAAAGAAGCTAGATTAGGAAAAAATAAGCCCTTTAATAACCTTATTGGAATTGAATATTAAATAGAAAAATGCTTTCAAATCTAGGTTTATATTAAAAAATGATTGATCATTTTCTCATCATATAAGAAATGGGTTGCTATTGAATTTTGAAATTGTTTTGCCAAAATATCTCAGTCCATTAAAAATAAAAGGCTATCAAAATAGATTATTTGCATCTATTATGTGTTTTGCACAATTCATATATTAATTTTCAATAACAATATTATTGCAAAAGCTAAATAAAAATATTTTCTTCGTATTTGTATAAATGATTATTATTCATAGCCGTTTTTAAAAAATAAAATTACAAAATTATTTTAATGGATAAAAATTGCCCGAAGCATGGAAAAAGAGTTGTAATAGTTGATAGATCATCAACAGATCCTTAAGCTCGAGATCTTTGCTTCTAATGAATGAATAAAAAAACAATTTAATGAGTTATGATGATGCTCAATAGGAATAACTAAAATCAGAATTAATTAAAGAAAAGTATGATCTAAATCAAAAAAACATTGATGTTCTTAGCAGATCTTAAAAATAGCTTATGGTAGTTGAAGACACAAATTTTAGCACTTATTGATAAACATATAGTTGGCATTGAATATCAAATTTAACTTATTGTAAATTCATCAATTAGATATGGACAATAGATTGAGAGCTTACAAACAAAGGATCTTGATTCGTTTGTGAAATAATACTTGGAAATAGAGAAGCAATCTATAAATTATTAAGACATCAAGGATCTTCTTTTAAAAAATCTTTCTTCACTTTCAAATGAGTCTCTTGTCTAAAAATTTGGGAAAATATTCACAAAAGTAAATACTGGAATATTGAATTATTCAAATGAAGTTCTGTGTAATTTTAAATAGTTTGCTCTTTAATAAATAGATAATGCATTGAATATCAATTTAACTTGCAAATAGCATAAAGGTTGTTAAATTATAATGGTCGACCTTAATGAAATATAAAAAGCTCCAAGTAGATTAATATGCGTTAAATGCATGAGCGCATATCCTGCAAAATATGAAACAGTTGATGAATTTAAGGAGTAATGGTAAAACTATTTATTATAAAAATAAAATTACTGTAGCAACTATATTGAAAGAGTTCTAAGTAAAACTAAACAACTGAATCTATCATTCTCTGATATCTAATAAAGTTTAATTACCTAAAGCTCCAATCAAGTAAATAAGAGATCTAACAATTTATTATATGTCTTATAATTGTAGTGGCAATAAGATAATAATTAAAATTTTTCATTAAAAGATTTCAATTAATTTGAAGACATTGTAAAATAAATGAGTGGATCATAAAATATCTAGCAACTTATAATCTGTTTGGAAAGTAACTACGATGAGTGGAATAAATTAAACTTTAAATAAATATCTGAAATTTAAAAAAACTTTAGAAATTTGTACTGAATAGCATTCACTTGTAATTAAATGCAGAGAGTAATATTAATTAAGAATAAAATTCTTAAGAAGATAAATAATTCACATATGAACTAATAAAGGAGAGCTCAATAAAAGAATAATAATTTTGTGGTGCAATGTCTTTTCATAAGGATTACTAAATTGTGATTGTTGGATGTGATAAATAGTTAAAGGTATTTGAGTTTAATAAAGGAAGGATGAATTAAATTCAAATTCTTACTGAACATTAAGATTCTATAATTACTTTAAAATTTATGAAAAAATCTAATTAATTTATTTCTGGGAGCTATGATGGATAGATTATAATATGGTCGATGAATAAAAGTAATGAATGCATCTGCTAATAAAAAATTAATGCACACTTAAATAGTATTACTTGTATTATATTGAACAATAAGGAGGATCTAATTGTATCATGTAGTACAGATAGAACAATTAAATTTTGGATCAAATAGAATCAATGGGTATACCAATAAACTATTACTGATCATAATGGCACTGTACATTCATTAAGTTTAAATGAATAATAAAATAGATTAATTTC